GTAGTCTTCAAGATTGCTCAAGAACAATACTTAAGCCGTTACCGCGTGTTTTTCAAACATGGGTCGACCCGCTAACAATCGGCATTTGGCTCCCTTCCCACTGGCAAAAAAAATCCTGGGTCTGAGCCCTTGTCTGTTGACACCATCACGCTGGGTTAGCATTGATGATGTCACCAGTGCAACAGAAATCACTTAAGTAAACAATGGAGAGCAGCATGGAAGGAAGCCAGGGCGTATTCAGTGTGCTTTATTGTTTCTTTCTATTATCTGTCCGAATCCCTCTCACCAGAGCTGCTCCATGTTTAACAAATGTAAACAGAGTCGTTTCAACTTTTTAAATTGATTGTGACTTGTGTGGTGTGTTGACGTCAGGGGCGGATTTACCATTAGGCAATACTAGGCAGTTGCCTGATCCTGGGGCCCAATAAAACTCCCTTTACATGTATAGTTAATACAACTATTCCCTATTTGTGCACATTTATGATGTTTTTGATAAAATTCCTTTCGCTAAAATGCCACCAGAATGTTTATAAAATTAAGTGTGTCTCAGCCCCCCCTTTCAGTGTCCACCATATTGGATCAGTCCATTTGCTGCACATGTTCAGAAAGGTCCAAACAGACAGCAGCAAACCATTTGAAAACAAACGATGCAAAGAGCAGTGTTGCCAACTTAGCACTTTAGTTGCTATATTTAGCGACTTTTCAGACCCCTCTAGCTCTTTTTTCTTTTTTTCAAAAAAGCGCCAAATCTAGTGACTTTTTTCTGCTACTGGAGACTTTGGCGACAACATCTAAAAGCAGCGAACTCTGCTCTCCAGAGCCAGTAGATTGGTAACCCCGCCTCCTGCTCTCCTCTATCTTGTCTGCTGTCATGATTCATGCAGCTATTATTTCATCCAAATGAAAAATGGAGAACAGATAAGCAGATCATGGCTTGTCTGCAGTGAAAAGAAGGACTGGGTTATTTGCTTTGGCCTTTTTGGAAACACAGGAAGGAGCAATCAGCTAAGTGAGCTTAGTGCTTGGAAAAAATCTTTCATTCCTTTAGAGACAGCATGAAAAGTCAGCTGAGTACAAAACATAGAGAGGAAAACAAGAAGAAAAGGGACAAGAAGAGAGGGACAAAACCTAGAACAGATAATGTATGTCTATTCTATTAATATTTCTCTATCTGTATAATGGGTCTGATTTATGTGTTGTCTTCTCAATTCAGAGGGCCCCCTGCTTGTCTTTGCCTAGGGCCCCAAATTTCCTAAATCGACCCCTGGTTGACGTCCACACGTTGCTTTCAATGGTATCACATAATTTAGCCGGTCTGGTGTTCCACAGCATGACGATCAGAGCCAAGTTGATTTTAACGCAGGTCGCTTGCCGAGTCGTTTGAACCGGGCAGACGCGCCTCAGTGAGCTGCTCCCACTGCCACTGACAGCCGATTTTTCCCGGGTTTAAACTAGGTTTTTTCAGCCAGTGGGAACGAGATATTAGAGAGGATCTTGGAGTTGATATCCAAGGCAGTGCAACTGAATTTAAGGTCTACATCACCAAATGAATGCAAATGTGGAAAGCACAGTTCTAGGGGTACAAATCAGTTTGGTCTGATTTGTCCAGATGGATGATGGCAGGAAGTGGTGAATTATGAGTTATCAAGCGAACAAATGTTCTCACATGTTATTTTTAATTGCATTAATCATTTAATGAAAACATTCAGATTGTGAAGTGATGATGATTTTTGTCAAAATAAATGGAATATCAACAAAGTTTGAGCACATTTGAAATGGAAAAGCAGCTGGTCTCATTAAGAATGGTTGAAATAAAAAAATCCCCATCGACAATCACCTATACTTCATGGAGAGACCAACTGAAACACAGCTGCAAAGGGTGAAAGACATGGTACTATTACACTCCCAGGATTAGAAAGGGATGTTGGGTCGGTCCATCTATGGCTCCGTCCTACCATCCAGGTAGATCAGGGGTGGGCAATTCCAGTTCCTGGGGGCCGGCATTCTCCAATTTTTAGATCCATCCTTGGTCCAACACACCTGAATCAGATGGCTGAGCATGCATTCAGTTCCTCCAGAGTCCTCTCAATCATCCAATCACTTGATTTAGGTGTGTTGGACCAAAACACATCTAAAAGTTGCAGGATACCAGCCCTCAGGGATTAGAATTGCCCTCCACTGAAGTAGATAGTAAGTGTACAACTTTAGTAAAACCACGTGTTAACGAATGGTACACTGGTTCCCTCCTGATGATAACAGCAGCTTAAAACATAAGTTCTCCAGGAGAATATTGTAAAGCCAACTAGTTTCAAAGATAAAATGATCGATCATCCTGATATAGCTGAAGAGAGAGCTTTTAATAAACAAGGTGCTGATGCCATAATGGGCACCTGGACTCCTCTCGTTTCCTTTTTAGACAGCATGAAAAGTCAGCTGAGTACAAAACATAGAGAGGAAAACAACAACAGGGTTCCTACAGCATAAGGCAAGTTAAATTCAAGACTTTTTAAGACTTTTTAATGCCACTTGAAATAAAAATGTAAGACCAAATTCACAAGAAACACAAGAAAATCCTGCTTGCGACAACTTAACCCAAAGGTTTATTTTAACATAAACCACTGCACTGATTTTTCAAATTTTGAAAAGCTTCCCATACAGGAAG